GTTTGTCCAAATACTTATGAGCCCTTAAAGTCGGGGGACTGTGTGAAGAAATGGTTGTAATTCCTACACGGTTCATACTACATTTTTGAAAAAAGCCTTAAATGAAAGCTGAGAGTCTGCACTTTAAGCAGGTATTCATTGTTTCATTTAAAACCCATTGTGGTGGTGTACAGAGCCAAAATGACGACAACTGTATCATTGTCCAAATAATTATGGACCTGACTGTAACTAACTTCGTGCTTAAAACAGAAAAACCTGGCCTGGTAGTGACAACATGAAACAAAAGTACAAAATTCAGCTTTGTTACTACTCACAAGGTTCACAAACAAGACACTTGTCCTTTTTGCTAGACGCGTTTTCCCCAAATACACAGCATGCTAATGTTACTAGCGTAAGCCTATGACATTTTACATTGTGCTTACAAGCTGCTTACAAACTTTTCCTCAACTGTTGGAACAACACCATCATTAAACAATGGTAACGTTACAAAATTCAGCTCTACTATAACTCTTAAGGTTCACCAACAAAACAATTGTCTTTGACCACATGTTCTTCCTACAAATACAGCATGCTAATGTTACTAGCATTATTTCTCATTGCATAAATTGGCCTAGCAGCTAATGAACTTTTTCTCTCGGCTTACTCATATGAAGCCAGGATCAATCCGACACAAGACTCCAAATGCTGTTTTCTGTGGGCTTTGTATTCTGTGCAATTAATTGTTTCTTGTCCATGACATAGAAGTAAGTTGTAAGTAAGTAGAGGGGGACCTGTCCCCTATGTTGGAAATCAGTGGCCTAAACTAGCTAACAGTAAATTAATTAGAACTAGCTTCACTTGAGTTGCTAAAACAGTACATTCTGCTTATGCACTGATGCATCAGTGTTAACATTCATTGATGTCATACATAATAACATACTGACATACTTACTCACCCCAACATCTCCACAATTTTGTGCTTACACAGTTCCTCTGCAAGAACCTCGATGCTGCTGTCAGACAGGCGATTGACGCTCAATCTGAAGACAAGCAGTTTGGTTAGTGTTTGGTTATAACATCAGTGTGAACATCCCTCAGTGGAGAGCAGGAGGTAGGTAAAACATATTTTTATACATTTTTTTCTTACCTCACTACTGTCATCTTAGAAAAGGAGGGCTTCAGCTGCTTCACCCCGTAGTCACTGATGTTGTTGTTGTCCATGTCAACGCCCAGGAGCTTCTGACGGTGCTGCAGTACAAAGTTCAGGGCGGTGCAGTCACCTGAGTACACGTCGCAGTAACCCAGCTTGATGAGGTTCGCTGTGATGCCTTTTGCTGTCATCTGAGCGATGTCTTTGCTCCCTGTCTCAAAAATGCACCTCAGCATCCACAAGAAGTTGGGCAAAACATGAACTTTCTTGCCTTCTTCACTGTTGTAGTGGGGTAAGCCGTGGAGGTGGGACTTCACACTGGTGGACAGGTAGGATTTTAGCAGGGTCTGTTTTTTCTTTAGTACCACAGGAGATACCAGATGTTGAATCAGGCCAGTGTTAGCCTTGGACAGCAGTCCACACAGAAACAGATTAGTGAACTGAAGGTGCTCATTGGATGTGAATGGCTTCTTCTCACTGGGCTTTGAGGAGCCACGGACACAGACGTTAAACGGCAGACAGGAGACTTCTCTTTTCCTGCTGCACTCTGTGAAGAACTTGAGGATGGAGCTGGCAGCAGCCTGCTCATCCAACACTAGAGCAAATGCTGCCAGGAAAGACTGGAGGGTGATATGGAGGACTTCAAATGTAGCAGGGCTTCCATTGGCATCATACTCACTGACAGGTCTTAGAAAGCCCAGCGTCAGGTCCTCCTCCGTCAGGCCACATGCAGTGATCTCCTCTTGGGTGCAAATGAAGCTACCGCTCTCCATACCCTGAAGTGCTAGTTTGGCAAATGCTGCAAGAGGCCTGAGCCCTGCTTTGAATGTCTCAGAGGCACATCGGGTGCTTTTCTTCAGCAGAGACGGCGCAGGTGAGGCTGAGCGGGTGAGGAACACCTCCGACAGCAGCAGGAAGATGTCTGTCAGTGTGATGCACGTTTCAGGCAGATGGAAACTATCATGCATGGTGTGCAGGTGCCTAAAGCTCTTAAATACAATCCAGCAGAACAGTGGGGTGGAGCAGAGGCCACACAGGTGGGGGCTAGCATCCAGCTGAACTGAAACCAGCTCTCTGTGCTCCTGCTCCTTAAAGTGCAGATCAATGTAGGTCTTGAGATGAGCTGGGGAGAATCCCCGCAGAACCACCTTCTTTCTGATCACCCTACTCTGGATCTCAGTCCCTGTCCGGGCCGTCAGCACCTTCTGGGAGCCCTTGAGTAGCTTCCCACTGAGCAAACTGATGAGCAGCTGGAAGGGGTGTGCCTTCACATCTGGTGACACCACTTCAGGAACATTCATCAGATCATTCATCTGAAGCTCATCGTAGCCATCAAATGTAAAAAGAACCTTCTCAGGGAAGCACAGGATGTAATCAAACACCTCATTATCTGGATCAAGATCTGGGTAGCAGTTATATTTGAACAGAAGGTCTTTAAGGGAGATCTGCTCTGTTTCTTTGAGGATGCTGAACATCCTACAGCGGAACTTAAAAAAGAAGATGGCATCCGTCTGCAGCTCCTTTTTGGACCAGAGGTTCTGAAGCTTCTGCAGGAGGATTGATTTTCCCACACCGGCATCCCCCATAACATAGATGATTTCACCTTGGGGATTGAAGACTGCATGGTCTCCCAGGAGCTGGTCCAGACTCTCTAAGAAGCCCAGACTTTCATTGCAGTCATTCAACAGTTCCATCAGTGTGTCAGTGTAAAGGTCCTCTAGCCTGGTCTCCTCTCGCTGGCCGTATGACATGATGAAGCAGGTGTCCCGGCTCATCTCATGCTTCAACTTCTCACAATACCTGCTGACTTAAGCAGGGAGACAGACAGTGAATTAGTGGAACACAGAAGCTGCAAACGGTGTTATATGGTCCAGTGATCCAGTATTTTCTATTTAGGACCTGAAAATTTTATCCAATCCAAAAATGAATATGTTAGGGATTTTTGTGTTTCATCTTTATTTTTTAATCTTTGCTACAAACAAAACTTCCCTCAAGACGACAAAGTTAAAGGACAACTTCGGTATTTTTCAACCTGGGCCCTATTTCCCCATGTGTATGTGTGCGTATGATTCATAGGTACAACTCATTCTAAAATTGGTTCAGTATTGAGGGAGGCGGATGCAGCCGGCAGCCGCGAAACGAGCTCAAACGGTAACGGGGCAAATACGTCCCATATAAGTTTGCGCATTAAAAGTGACCACTGACCGGTTCAGATCACCAGTGCTATGAGTGGAGTCAGCTGTCAGTCAGTGTTGGAGCTTCTCATTTAATGTTTAAATCACGATAGGCTAAGTGTTTCACTCATAATTGTTCGTATACGTTAATGTTAACTTTCACCATGCTGTGTGACAGCTCATCAAGCTGTCCCTCGGAGTTCTCAGAAGTCACACAAGCGTTTCCAGAAAACACAACTTTCTCACCTTACCCAGTGAAACCGCCTGGGCACAAATTTGTTGTGACTCATAACTGTTCCGATTAATAGAACAACAAATAACAAAGAATTCATTTACAAGCTTTCACAGAGCTCATGTAGTACAACCCAAGTCTCATGTATCCAGTCGTATGCTCAGTACTCCCCAAACACATGCATTTTGGTGAAACCTAACCATTGAAACTGAACTGAAAGTGAAACTTATCTACAGCGTATTCTCTTCAAAGGCAGACTCCGATACTAAGGGTTTTTTGCAAAAATGCATGTGTTTGGGAAGTACTGAGCGTACGACTGGATAAGTTTTTAAACATGTTTTTTTTTATATAGTCTTTCGGTTGTTAAACGTGGTCTCCAATCAATCACTAAATCAATATGTTTGCCGTTTTCCATCGAGGCATGGGAGAAAAAGAAAGTTTTCTTCAGGAATTCAAGGTAACAATGCTAATTTATTTACAGAGTGGTTGTCTTTGGGTGAAGTATTCCTTTAAAATTCTAATTAAACATTAGTCTATCAGTAATCGTTTATGAGTCCCCCTCCACTTAAA